GCCCCTCGCACCGGCGTTTTGCCTATTTTCGCGGTGAAACGCGTGGCGAGGTGGCGGGGAAGGCTTGGAGAGCCGCCGCGCCTCCTGATGGAGGGTTCTCCGCGGGGCGGGTGGTAACGAGCTGACTCATGAAAGGCAGCAGCCCACCAAATACTGTCAACAGTTAAATCCCAGCCGTCTCCACGCCGTCTGAAGGGACGGCACAAACTCTGCTGGGCGAGCCGCTCCGTTTCGCAGCCTGCCTGTGCCTCCTGACATTAATTTTTCAAAGCAAAGAGGGGGTGGTAATAGTTCGGGTGTCTGTACCTCTGGTGGCTGCCGCAGTCGCTTCATCCGCCTGTGTTTTGATCGTGCAAGGCCGAATAACGTGTGTCAGAACGCTGCAGCCACACTGAATGCAAAATCAAATATTGCTGGAGGGCGTGGAAGGCTTGTTAGGTGCTTACAAGTTTATGGGGTTTATTGGGTTGGAATGTTCATTTTCCTGCATACTCCAGAGCCTTTATTTTACCGTGATGTGTGGGACCAAGATGCAGCTTGATTGTTACTATAGTTATCAGGAGCTGCTCTCTTTTTCCTACTCTAGAACAAAAAAGTGCATACGTGGAGTATAACTAAATATTGTTTTTACTTGACAATATTGGCAGTATCCAAGAACTCTAATGGTCACATCTGAGATACTCCGTGGCACTTTATTTGTATGCTTTAATTGAAAAGTCTTGGGTTTTGAAGCTTTTCTTTTTCTATCCCACTGCAGTCAGCATTTTTGTATTTTTGTTGTCTAACAGATGATGGTGAAGACGATGACTCAGATTCTCATGCTGAAATGGTAACCATTTTCTCTTTAAGCTTATCTTTCCATCTGTCTATTGAAGAGAGCAGGAGGAAGGGGAATTTCACTCTGTTCTGGGGAAATCTAGGCAGCTGGCTTGACTCCGTAGCTTGGGAAGGATCAATAATAGACCTGGAGGTTTAGTTATTCCTGTCCAGGACTTTGTTATTCATGTGTGAGAGAGAGACTTCTTCATGTGAAAACAAGTGACGGGGATCAGAGGCCTCACTGCTCTAGTGCTGATCTCTGTCACTGGAAACACACCAGCTTCTGGGGAGGCCGCAGAGCAATCGCATGCGAGAAAGAAGTCGTCAGCTTGCGATCAAGAAATCTTTTACTTCTTTGTACCTGAAGAATACTGTGTTTGTACATGAGGGGAAAATTACTTCTAAGAATTTTTACGGATCTGTTTACCTTTGGTGTTGTTTTAAACATAATATTTTCTCAGACTTCATGTCAAAACATTTAGCAGAGAAATATCTTAACGCCTGTACAGCACAGGAAAGGAGAAGCTAGTTTGTGAAGATAAATCTGCTGGTGCAGACTGGACCCAGGTGCAGAGCACTTTCATGAAACAGCCCTGCTTTGTGTCCAGATCCTGTGGTAATAAATCACAGAAGGGAAGAATTGCTTCAGTAGAAGCACAAATGAGGAGGAAATTTGAAGGGGTGGTTCTGAAGTACAGGTTTAGCAGGCAAGAGAGCTCCAGTGTAAAGTACTACTATTTTGCAGTTTACTTACACTTTTGCAGTTGATGGCACAAGACCAGCTGTTGGCAGGGTTTGGAGTCAGACTTTGGTTCAAATAGCAGCAGGCTGAACTAACGAACAGGGCGAAGGGGAGCTGGGCGAGGCTGGTAACTCTGCCTCTGGGAGCGGTCAACACAGCTGCCAGGGAGAGACCGACAGTTATGTGCCTCCAATTCTTTTGACAAATCGGTTGTGTAAGATAATAGAAGTTATTGAGTTACAAAAATAATTGTTACATGCCTGCTTTTAAAGCAAGCATTTTTCTTCCTTTTTCCCCCTTCTTCCTTTTCCCCCTAAATGCCTTATTTGCTTCAAGGAAATGGAAGGAGAAGATGACAGTAGCGATGATGATATTGAAAGTAGCCTGCCACAGGATCCAGAAACATGTCTGCAGATGAACCATGTGTACCAGGAAGTTATCCAGGAAAAGATTGAGGAAGTCGAGCTGCTCATTGCACAAAACAAAGAACAGCAGGTGAGCGAAACAGGAGTAAAATGTTCATTCCTGTGCTTTTCGGGGTTGTCATTTGCCATCTTCCCCTGCCCATCAAGCCCAGTAAAACTTTCCAGGACATTCCTAATCCATCACAGGTACCAGTGGAATCAGCTGCAGCAGTCACAGTCCCTTATTCATATGCTGGTGCAGTGCTCAGCTTGCTTGGCCAGGAACCAGGTTAATTTTCTTCATGGCAGTTCAAAGCAATGTTACGTGACTGGCCTTTCGAATGGCTTATTTGACTGATGTTTCCATGCTTTCTCATCACCAAAAATGCTACCACTAGGGTATTTTATATCTTATATTTTAGCTTGTTGTATCAAGTTAGTATTTTTTTTTTTTTTTTTAGTCATCAGCAGTGTACTATACAAACTTAGGAAGTTCCAAATCCTGTCTTTAGCACGTACACTGATTTACAGTCTGGTGCTGCAAATTTGAACCCTGTCTGGGATGTTTGTGGTGGCTCAGCCACCACTCTCTGAAATTAGGAATTTGAACACTGATACTGTTTAATTAATTCTTGTATTGCAGAAGGAAATCATGTGCGAGCTTGGTGGTCCAAAAATAGCAAAGGCAGGAGATGGTAGAAATCTACCAGCAAATATATTTTTGGGTCATTTTATGAAGCCATACTTTAAGGATAAAACAACAGGAATTGTAAGTAAATATAACTAGGTTACATACTGGTATGTATTTCAATGATAGATTTAAATTGTAACTGTGTTAAAACTGTGTTACATTTCAACTGTGTAACTGTGAATGTCACTCCTCAGTTTGAAACTGTTTTTTTTCCCCTCACTCGCTTACTTACCCTCTTGGAAATGTTTGTTCAACCCATGTCTGGCTGTGACGTCTGAAAGTGAGTTCTGAGGAGTGGCATTCCAGCCATGGGGCACTTGAATGTTCTTGTTTTCAACTTAACTTCGATTGTTTGTCTTCATCTCCACGGTCCAATTCCATGCTGTTGTTTAAAGTACTCGTTGAAATCTGATTGTCTTTGAAACCGCATTTTCTGAAGCAAATGTCACTACTTTTTCCATGTGTTTTTAAAGGGTCGCTAGCAAAAGGAGATCTTGACTTTTTATTGTAGCTGTCAACTGTCACCATACATATATTAATATAATATTCAAGCAATGACTGGTAATCTTTCTGTTAAATCCTACCCAAGTTGGTAGTGCATCTTAAGAAGGTACAATCATGCATAATACGTGTCCCCATGTTCAAAATGCTTCTTCAGGCCTGGCTCTGAGCCGATTGTAGCCTGTGTAGCCACGGACAAACTTACTTGCTTGATGTATCTATTTGTATTTGTATTTGTTTTCTTATGTCTTCTGATGTATCTGTGAGCTAGTGCTAATAAAGGCAACTTAGCAGTTTGAATGTGACAGTTTGGACAAGTTGGAGTTACCGGTCTTTTTTGTAGCAGTTCGTGCTAGAGTTCTAAGAAGAAAGGGCAATTTTTCTGTGTCTGTGACTGTTCCAGTGTATCTAACCCTTCTGATCTTCATTAGGGCCCTCCTTCCAATGAAGATGCCAAGGAAAAGGCAGCTCAGGGTATAAAATCCTTTGAACAACTGCTTTCAACAAAATGTAAGTAACTCTATGTGCTGTTCAGTGCTCTGTAAGAGCTATTAAAAATGTATATTTCATATTGTTAGTTCCCCCCCCACCCCATTTGCAGTTAAACGTCAACACTTCTGATACTTTTCCACAAGAAAAGTAGTTAAAAGTAAATGGGATGGTCTCTAAATTGTTTCAGTGAGTGATTAATGACTCCCTTCTTTCATTTGCGTTTGTTTTGATGCATCAACTCCTGTGAGCACTCCAAAACCAAATGAGAT